TGAGAAGTTGCATTCCTTTTTAGGCTTTCTTTGTGGTGATTTTTATTGGAAGTTTTGTGGCAAAATTCTGAATTTAAGTTTCTCAAAACTTTTTTTAGGTGTTTTATGAAATTGAGACAAAACTAGACTTGGTTAGATTTTGATTACTGTTGCCGTGTAAGCATACTTTCTAGTGTTGTGCTCTACTACAATCTATTAGGAGATCTAGGCTCTAACAATTTACTCTTATTGGCATTAAGAACAATATTTTGTTTACAAAATCATTGCATAAATAAATATTCTTTACTTGTATTTAACTCATTTTTTGCTTTTTTTATGGTGCGAGTACTATGATTGTGATTAATGTTTAGAGTGACACACACATTATGAGTATGTTTATCCTTTTCTCGCTTTGTTCACATGTTGTGGTATAATGGTTGTTTGTTCCATTCCTTTGCTCATTCCATTTCTTTGAGTTGGGCTTATGGACTTACACTTGTGGAGCAAAGCTATATTGACAAGAAGCGATCTAGAAGAATTGAAAGAATGAGTTTTGCTAATTAGGATCCAACTATGCTCGAAAATAGTACTTCATACTTTAATCGATTTTATGAATAATTTTTAATGAAATCAAATAACATTTGTGATTATGGGGTAACACGGATAGTATACCACAATTTTGAAATGGGTAATATGATAAAAGGCATATGACAAGGCTCGGATCCGCTTAGTCTAGGTAAATTGTTTATTTCTCTTGTATTAAGTCATGAAGTGTCCGGCCTATTACGGTAAATAATTCACGTGGAAGGTAGAATATGGGATAAACTTAAGGTTAGAATGGTCCATAGAGGTTTAAATAAACTCTTGTAATCCAAGACTTAGTTTTTTTCTTTTTATATAGGTAGAGCAACACTCAAAAACTTTGCAATCAATGCTTTCGAAATTACGCCGTGGGTGAAAAATCTAGATTATGATCACATACGTAATTGAAATCGTACACACACGCACACACACACACACAATAAAAAATAATCTTTTCATCAGCATTAAATAAAATAAAAACATTTTCTAATGAAATCTTATAAAAAATTTATTTTGATGGCATGTTTTTGAATTTTAGATAACAATTTTAATTTACATTATTGCAAGCTTTTAGTCTAAAATCATTGCATAAAGTAAAACGAATCATCTTTTTTCCGAGTAGCAAAATTATGAAAAACACAGATTATGAAAAAATTAATTTTTGATCAAATTGCATTACATCAAAAGAATTATAACATTGATAGTTTTAGAACATTGCTTTTGTTGAATGAATAGATCTATTGATAAAAAAAATTATGTTTGTGCAACTCGCATTACATAACATTATTCGCGCTATAATAAAATAAGTTGACGTTGAAGAATTTATGAATTAATCAATTAATTTATTTATAAATATTATATTATTTTATAATATTATTTATCAATATCTTTACTCTAGGTCCCGCAACGAATACACAAGTCACAAACTAGTACGTATCTAAAACATATAACGATAAAAAAATATTAATTATTCAATATATATTATAAATCAAATTATCAAAATTTAAATAATAATATAAAAAATTGATTTACCATAAAAATGAAAAAAAATTCAAAAATTAATTAAAAATAAGAAAATTAAAATTATTTTGGTTCAATTTTTTTTAATTAAAATCGAACTGAAATTAAACCAAATATGAATCATTCCTGGTCGTATTCAACTTAAAAATTAGGAAAAAAAAAACCATGAAAGAAAAAAGAAAAAAAAATCTCCTCCAACCGGACCCCACGCATCACCGTCACGCCGGACCTTAAATATATCGCCACTAACACCCCATACACCCTTACGTTTTCAAATCTTTCAAACGGACGCAAAACCTCTCTCTCTCTCTCTCTCTCTCTCGGCAACCATAACCAAAATCCGCTACACTCGCCTTGACCATGCACCAGCACTCGTACACCATAGATTCCCTTTCCAAATCCCAAGACCTCGCCTTAGCCATCTTCTCCTCCTCCACTCCTCCTCGGATCTCCTCCGTCCGTGCCTCCGTCGACTCTTTATTACACTCTCACTCTCCCGATCAATCCCGCCACTTCTTCTCCCTCACCTTCCCTACCCTATTCCGCAAGCTCTATGGCTTCGATGATCCACGTCGCCGCCCAACCAAAATCCAGCGACGGTGGATGGCTCGACATAATCCGCAAAGCAAACGACCCCGCTTTAACTTCTAGGGTTTTCAACGTCCTCTCTCGCGAACGGCGTGCTTTTCCAATCAATCTTCGCCGTTGATCGTCAATCTTTAGTGAAATACGTGTTCCCAATCGAACGGTTGCCGGAGTGGGCTCGGTTTATGTTATCGGGAAAAAAAGATTGTCGGGTTTAAAACAATCTTTTCCCTCTCCTTAAAGGGAAAATCAAAGAAGATTCGATTAAAGGAAGAGGCTCTTTATATTATCAAGTACAATTAAATGTCTTTGAATATTTCATGCTGCGGTTCGCTTATTACCCTATTTGTAAAGGAAACGGTGAGAATTTGAATAGTTTGGCAACTAAAAGACCCAAGAAGTTCAAATTAGAGAATTGGGCATCTTCATTCCGTGTTTTACGCATTCGAAACATGGAAATGAAAGAAATGTGGAGGGGAATAGTATCGTTGTCTCGGAATTGGGCACTTGCGGATGCCGATGTGTTAAAGGATCTTGGGAAGGCATACGGGAAATAATTTGGCAAGTTTCTCCGTATAATGACTCCAAAGTGGATGAAAAGAGAAATGCGGAACCGAGAGCGAGAGTGCGGATGCGTCTTCATCAAATGCTTGTTGGAAGAGAGAGTGATGATGATGCAAATGTTCCGGTTGTGAGATACATGAACCCGGTTTACGGTAGGAATGGTTCTCGGTCCCTTTGGAGTGGTGAACGTGAATTTCTCTCGGTCATTCATTCGAGGTGAAGGTTTGCACCGTCGTAGTCGACATGGCTTGGCACGCATAAGCGGTGGGAGGACCGGTCGGCACCTGGATGCTTTAAGTGTTGACTACGAGATCCCATCGGATGAACTCGAGACCTCTTTGCCAAAGTTGAAAAGGAGAACTCCCGATGAGGTTCTTTCTTCTCTACCCTTGTGAAGGAATTTACGTCACCGAACCGTCGAAGGGCGATGTAGGATCGTCGAGTGCGGCTTCAAAGACCCGGGAACCACCTTGGCTAAAATATTTCTTGAGGCTCTAAGTTTCTCCGGGTATTCTACAAGCTGGACTTGATACATCACCGTCGGTTAAGTGCCCATATCTTGGAAAGGTAGTTGATGACATGGCGGCACTCATATTTGACGGGGAGGAGGCGCACTTGTTATGCGACGAATGGTCAATAATCTTTATGTACATTGAACCTTTAGGGAGCTTCTCGCAACATTTGAAGCTACAAGTCAACTTTTATGGACACTTCCTTACTTTTTTCCCACACCCTCGATTGACCATGAGAAGGCGAGTGAAGGAAATAATTTGTCTCACGATACATGGCTACTTGACACTTTACACGGCTTCTGCCGCGTGCTCGAGTACTACGTAAACTCCTCTCTACTTTTATCTTCAACCTCTGCATCCCAAGCTCGGCTACTTGTTCAGCTCGTTGCGGTTGGTTTGTCAATTGGGCTATTTCTCGTTCCTAAGGATCCCGAAGTCTTTATTCGCGTGCTTGCGGTCTCGGGTCCTGGATGTCATATTACATGTCCGGAACCACCCGATGATTCCAAGTTGCGGTTCTAGTTTCATTGCTTCTATGATATCACTTGTTACACGCATATACTGCGGTGTTGGAGATGTCAAAAGGAATCGCGAGTGGTGTTACGGGAACTACGAACCAAAGGTTCATGCCCCCACCGCCTAATGAAAATACAATTGCAACAATTGTTGAGATGGGCTTTACAAGGGCAAGAGTCGAAGAGGCATTGAGGCGGGTGGAAACAAATAGTGTTGAAATGGCAATGGAGTGGGCTGTTCCGTCATGCTGAGGATCCTGTGAAGGAGGATGATGAGTTGGCTCGGGCACTTGCGCTGTCACTAAGAAGTTCATCGGGAGGATCGAAAGTTGACAATGTGGATAAGCCGATAGATGCCACGACGGAAGGAGGACAAATGAAGGTGCCTCCCGTTGAAGATATTCTTGCCGCATCCGTGTACTTGTTTCGGATTAGTGATACGATGGCATTCTCATTGACGATTTGCTTTTGACCCTTCGCAATCGGAACAAAGGAGAGGACCATCTAAAGGTGGCATCTTATCTTATTGAGCGGCTAAAGCTTTGCCCGTTGGATTTTTCCAAGGATTCCTGTGCATTGTGTATGATATCACATATTTTAGCATTGCTCCTTTTCGAGGATGGAACTGTTCAAGAAATTGCTGCACGAGAATGGTATTGTTGCCGCATTACGACGGATGTTTTGATGAATTTCAAGGCTAGAAATGCATCGGAGAGCGAAATTCTTGTACCAAAATGCATAAGTGCTTTGCTTGCTCATCTTGGATAATATGTTGCAATCCGGGCCCGAATCTCTTCGAATCCGTGGGAGACTTCATCTCCATCCGATGCACCGGTTCCGGCATCGGGTATGGATGAAAAAGTGGCTTCGGACTTCCACGAGAAAGAATGCAGTGCGACGACTTGAGAAAATATTAGGGAAGTTAACTCGTTTACCGACTATTGAAGAGAGTCATAAAGTTCTACTTGTTGCTTGTGACTTGATGAAACGAGCACGTCCTTGCTTGTGATCATGCGAGCTATTATGCGGTTATGTGCTCGCTTGACAAAAACTCACGTTTTAGCCTTGCAATTTCTTGAAAACGGAGGGTTAGTCTGCTCTCTTTAGTCTTCGAAGAAGTTGCTTCTTCCACTGGATATGACATCATTGCGAGCTACCATAATTCGGCACCTCCTTGAAGATCCTCGGACTCGCAAGCTCGCTATGGAATTGGAGATACGGCAAACTTTGAGCTGAAATCGCCATGCTTGGGCGTATTTCCCCAAGGACATTTTTGACGTCTATGGCACCTGTTATCTCCGGAGATCCTGTGGTTTTTATGAAAGCTGCTGCTGCGGTTGTCGATTGGAGTCATCGGGAGGGAGGACTTTTGTGGTGTTATCAAAGGAAAAAGAGAAGGAAAAGGACAAATCAAAAGCTTCGAGTCTTGAAGAATGCGTCCGGATTTTCAAACTCGGATAGCAATTCACATAAAAACATTTTGTTGCACGATAAAAAGGTTTTTGCTTTTTCGATACGGTATATTCAATTTTGTCTAAAAATGCATCCTCCGACCACTTACACAGTTCCGGATACTCATCGGATACGACAAAAAGCATGTCGAGGGTCGCCAATCCCGATGCTCCTAAAATTGTTAATCTTCATTGAAGGCTTTGGTCCTTTGGAAAGCACGTCAAGGGTCGCCAATGCTAGTGAGCAAGTTATTAAATGCGAGGGTCCGAATAAGAAGAAAACTACGGTGTCAAGTGAGAGACATGATGAACAAAGGCTGCATCCGTTGCGGAGACCATAGAGCATAATCGGAGTATTGGTGGCACGCACGAAGTCCCGGATGAGGAGGAGGCCGACATTCGGCAACGACGAGGAACTCCTCATGCTTGAGGGTAGTCGTCTTGCACATCAAAATCGATCGACGAGAGCAAAACATGAGGATCGAATCGGAAGATACAATGGCAACCAACCTATAAATGGAGATAGGAATGGATTTCATGCGTAAAGAAATGGAAGAAGGTGGTGGGTTACACAACACCGACCAAATTGAGATGACTTTTCATGTTGAGAACGAGGTGATGATGATATGGGTGATGGGGACGATGACATGGGAGATGATGGTGAGGAGGATGAGGATGATGATGAGGGGGAGGATGAGGATATTGCTAAAGATGGTGCTTGGTATGATGTCTCTTGCGACACCGATGTGGGTGACCATGATGATGCGGCTTGGGAGATGACTATAATGATGAGATGATCGACGAACAAGATGATGATTTTCATGAGAATCGTGTTATAGAGGTAAGGTGGAGGGAGGCCACTAGATGGGTTAGATCATTTGCGAGTGCTTGCATCGACTGTAGCTTGAGTGATCTAATTGATGTTCTTGCTTGAGCCATTTGAAGTGGTGAATGTGGATGATCTTTTCGGTCTTCGCGAGGCCTTTGGGTTTTGACCGCCGGCGTCGGAGTGGCGAGTCTTCCTTTGAGCGACTGTCACGAAGTAAATGGATTTCAACATCCTCTTACGTCGAGGCCATCCCGGTCGGGGGATGCTGGTTTCTATGTGGTCATCGAGTGGGCATTCTAGAAGCTTTGTCATGCGGGAGCTTTGATGTAGCTCCCTTTAACATGTTTGATGCTCCTGTTCTTCCGTATGAACATCTACCTAGTAGTATATTTGGTGATCGTTCGGATGCTGCGGCACCCCCACCATTGTGTGATTATTCATAGGTATGGACTCGTTGCATACACGGGGACGAAGAGGGCACGGTGATGGTAGGTGGATCGATGATGGTCGGCCGCGACGGGTGCCCAAGCTGCTGCAATTGCACTAGCGATAGAGGAACGAGTTCTTGTTGCGGTATGTGCGGTGTACCTACGACCAATGCTTCCACCGAGAGGCGGTCCCGGAATTCGGGAGTTCGGGAGAATCAACCATCCGATGATCCTCTATCCAATGATGGTCGAGTAGTGGTGGATGGTGATAACACCAACGATCGAGCAAGCCGAACTTCGGCAAGAAAACGGCAATTAAGTTACCCACTATCGGCCCGATCCAACCGTTGATCCTCGGTCTTCATTCAATGGTGCGAGTGAAGGTCTACGGGTGGATGAGCCTATGTTAGTTCAACCAATTTCTCCGAACATTACCCCAAATGGTCTTGATAGCATGGAAATTGGAGATGGTGATGGCACTTGCATGTGATCAAGTTGAGATAATGGGGAGGCTCATTGTTCTTAGAAGTACATCTTTCGATCTATTTGATTATAGCCCTTTCTCTCATTGTTTTCTCTATATGAAAATTCTAGAAGAGGTTCAAAATGGGGAGATACAAAGGATGATTTTAAAGTTATTCATTGAATTAGGGGTGAGGGTGTTGTTAAATAGTCTTAAAAACGTTCGGGAGTTGATGGGGGGAAGGTATTAGATTAGAATTTGTACTGCAAATAAGAAGCTTTGGTGGGTTTTTATTCGGATGTGTAATATAGATGGCACGACCTTAATTTCCTCCGAGTGTCTTCTTCTTCCTCTTCTTTTTTTTTGTTTCTTTTTTTGCATTTGCAATGCGGGAAGAAGATGGGGTCGGGAATACGGCTAAATGCTAACATGATAGCCAATCATAGTTTAGCAAAGTAGGATTTTAACAATCGGTAGATTTACATACTAGAAGAGTAAATAGATGTTTTGTGTGGAATGAAGCAGTTGAGTATATCAACCATATATTCTTATGTTGGAAGTAGACTCGAAGCTTATAGGTGTTGATCTTTGGGATAGTTTTTTGTATGGGCCTCGAGCCATAATTGGAGATGCTTATATAATGGGTTCTGCTAATATTTGCAACTTCCAACCACGATGGTGTGCCAAATTTCTTTTTTTTCTTCTTGGTGTGTGTGTGTGGGGGGTTAATCGGGGTCGGAGTGCAATAACTACATTTGTTGCAATATATAACTTAGGAGCATCACCAATCCGGTATTCGGGTAATAACTAAGGAGAACCACCAAACTAGTATTCGGGTAAAGAGGCAAAAGTTGCTTGAATGCAAAGGAACGAGTTCTCACATGCAATAGGATTAAATGTAGAGAAATTGCTATCCGATTTGCGAGTCCAAGATACATTTATATATTTATACTTTTCTTTACCTCCTTTTCTTATATTTCATATTTTTTTCTTTTTAGAAATTCTTAGAGATATTCTCAACTACGTAAGCAAAAGCTTAATCATGCTATTCGACATGCTTCCATCGTCTTATGAATTCTTATGTCCATGTTCGGGAATTGCATCCTTTTGATGTAAATTAATTTGAAATATAAATGCCGAAACCCCATTTGCTTTATCCCTTTAAAATCGGTTTCATAATTGCTTGATTCTTTTTATTTTTTTATTTTTCAGCAATTTTATACCTAATCATGTGAGCATTTTGGGATTGATGATCACATTAAACTATTGGAATATGTTGTTAAAAAAATGTCCTCAATTCTTTAGGCATACTTGGATGTGGTAATGCATACCTTATTCAAATTTCTTTCTCTTGAAATTCTTTTAATGCCAACAACGGTTCTATTTGCGGAAGCGATAAGGCAATCAATGATACCTTAAGTATCTTCTTCGAAGTGGCAACAAGGTGAGTCATAATTCTATATTATTCTGTTTAAAGATGTGTTATAGCTCTTGGTTCGTACTTGTTAAATTAAGATCGGCATTTTTTTAGGTTCATATACATGGAAGGGAGGTTGGACACTATTAAATCATTAAATTTAATTTAGTGCGTAACATGAATGTAGAATATCTTTTTCACTTGTATTTAAATATAGAATTTAAATTACTTAGTTTCTAAAGTTATAACTATATTCAATACTCCATTTGTCTTCGTTTGTAGGTGGAGGACTTGTCCATTTTCCGAAGATCACAAGCATTTTCGCAATAGAACAATGTTCTACTATGCCATGGGCTTGCTGATTTTCTTGGAGGATAGTCTTTTGAAATTTAGATCTTTAATGAACCAATTCTCCGGGTAATTAATTTGAATTTTCATTACATTATATTGGCTCACATTCATCTAGTATATACCCATTTTCACGTGAACTTGTATGATGTAGTTCCTTGTTTCATCTCATTCTGTAACACTTATTTTTGATTGTCATGTCTTAAGCGCTTTCATTAGAATCTCTAGCTCTTCTCGGCATAAAACTCGGAGAAACCACGAGCACGGATGCTAGGTCAACCCAAGTCATTTTTCACATGAGTTATTCGGTGTATTAGATGCCAACTCAAGGGATCTAACAAAGTGTTTATTTGTCATGTGAAACATTGCCTATTGGATATGAATTATCAAATGGAGGCTAGGTCTTTGGCTTAAGGTAGAAATTAGCAAGTTATGCGATCTCGCTTATCTTTGAACAGAAATTAACAAGAGAACATGGTAACAATAAATATTTAGCAAGGTGCATCTTAAAATAGCGAGAATATTAATTGATAAATACTGCTAGCTCACTCGAATTTTCTTCTCATACATATTTCGTGCTTTAAAGAGTATCTATCTTTTTCATTGGATATTAATGAGACAATGTTACATCTTTTGATTGTATTAGGCTTTTATTAAGACAACCTTAGTGTCTATAATTTTAACATTGGAATATCATTATGCCCTATATAGTTTAGCCGAGTTGGAATCTATACTCGATGCAATGTTTTGCTTGGAATCGGTAAAATATGCATTGATTGGGTTGATGAGGGACCTTAGATGACTAGCAATGGGTAAAATTAGGTTGATAATCATATGATTTCTTCTAGTAACTAATCTTTGCATATGCTTTATAAATTTTGGTTTGTTTCCTTCTTTTCCTTTGCACTGTTGCCTTTTCATTTCTTTCTAATTTTATTGCGTTTTTAGTCCTAGAACATATGCCTTCCTTTTTCGAAATTCTTTATATATAACACATACTGCTTCTATCCAAAGCCATTGCACATTGGTCCGAAACTCCGGAGGTAATGTGAGCAAGCAAGCAAATTAATGCATAAGACAATTATCTCGTTTATATATGTGACATATTTTATTAAGTTTGCATAATTTGTCATTAGTAATTAAAAAAAATAGTAATAATTTTAAAAGAAAAAAAAATTGTGATTCACGTTGTTTTAGGGTTATTTAGGTGGTTTCGATTACGGTTAATTGAATAAATAAGCCAATAAGCTGTTAAAATATCTAAATGTGTCCAATATATTTTGGATCCGTACCTTGGATCTTGTAATGTTAAAAATAATTCCAAATTAAATCTAGAATCAAGAGAATGTAATAATAATAAAAATTAAAATCATAAGACCATGAAAGAGTTGGATATGAAGGGGAAAAAAAACATTTGTTCCGTTCTAATAGCTCGGTCTATAAGGAGGTGCTTACAAAGTTGGAAAGGTAAAGAAAATCAAAACATAAAATTTTCGGTAAATCAACCAAAAGAATCAAAGGATTTAAATAATGCTGAAAAATGAAGTCTTCCAAATTTCTATCTTCGGTTTGATAATAAAAATGCTTGGTGAAGTCTTCAAAGTTCCTGTCTTCTCGTTTGATAATAAAAATGCTCGGTGCTCTTGAAAGCTTTTCATTACGCCCACTCTAAATTGTCTAAAACAAGGATATTGTTCTTTAAGGGGCTAGTTCAACCATCTAGAGAGGCAACAATGCATAGCATATTCTGATTTGCTTGTGATTTTTCAAAATCATTAACCATACTCCCTAGTTTCTCTCATTCTTTTATTCATGAGACAAACCTAGTGCAAAAATACCCTCCCACGACTAATGTCCCGTAGGTGAAATTGGAGACAAAGTTGCAGTTTAATTCAACAAATGGTATTTTCATACTTCTTGCACCCTTGTCCATTGTATACCATGTCGATGAGTTGCTCATCCTTCCTAATGCCGTTCTTTCCAATTTCTTAAAAAAGGATAACTACCCTATATCTTCACGCTTAAGAAAACATTAAAAATGGGTACTTATCTATTATTCATTTTCCCACTTGTAGAAGATTTATATACTAGAAGCATTCTCTCGTCCCATTCAAACAAGTCAAATATTTCCCTTTTTATGTTTGTAAGACAACAACATGAAAAAAAAAAAAAAACCATACTTGCAGGTAACAATTCCATTGGTGGAATTCATTGCTAATTGTAGCTTATGGATCAAATATTTTGTCTCTTCTCCACCAAGTAGATATGTGTACCTCCACATACAAGGGAATGTGCATCCGTTTAACTATTGTTGCTAGAGGTATGCATTCGAATTATTATTCTTTTATTTTTAAATTTGTTCATTGCATTTCTTTTTGTATTTAATAGCATGCTGGCCAATGATTCTTTGTGTGCGATGAACAAGCAGACTAGAAGAGTAAATAGACGATTTATGTGGAATGAAGCAGTTGAGTATATCAACCATATATTTTTATGTTGCAAGTAGACTCGAAGCTTATAGGTGTTGATCTTTGGGATAGGATTTTATTGTGTAGTTTTTTGTATGGGCTCGAGGCCATAATTGGAGATGCTTATATAATGGGTTCTGCTAATATTTGCAACTTCCAACCACAATGGTGTGCCAATTTCGTTTTATTTTTTCTTCTTGATGTGTGTGTGTGGGGGTTTAATCGAGGTTGGAGTGCAATCTCTACATTTGTTGCAATATATAACTAAGGAGCATCAACAATCCAGTATTCGGGTAATAACTAAGGAGAACCACCAAACTAGTATTCGGATAAAGAGGCAAAAGTTGCTTGAATGCAAAGGAACAAGTTCTCACATGCAATAGGATTAAATGTAGAGAAATCGCACTCCGATTTGTAGTCTAAGAGACATTTATACATTTATACTTGTTCTTTACCTCCTTTTCTTATATTTCATATTCTTTTTCTTTTTTGAAATTCTTAGAGATATTTTCAACTCAATAAGCAAAGACTTAATCATGCTATTCTGTCATTCTTCCATCATCTTATGAATTCTTATGTCCATGTTCAGGAATTGCATCCTTCTGAAGTAAATTAATTTGAAATATAAATGCCAGAAACCCCCACTGCTTTATCCCTTTCAAATCAGTTTCATATTTGCTGATTCTTTTTAATTTTTATTTATTTTTTTTTGCAGAATTTTTATACCTACTCATGTGAGCATTAAGGGATTGATGATCGCATAAAACTATTGGAATATGTTGTTCAGAAAATTGCCTTAATTCTTTAGGCATACTTGGATGTGGTAATGCATACCTTATTCAAATTTCTCTCTCTTGAAATTCATTTAATGCCAACAACGATCCTATTTGCAAAGCAATAAGGCAATCAATGATACCTTAAGTATCTTCTTCGAAGTGGCAACAAGGTCAGTCATAATTCTACATTATTCTGCTTAAAGATGCGTTATAGCTCTTGGTTCATACTTGTTTTATTTGGATCAGCATTTTTTTAGATTCAGATATATGGAAGGGAGGCTGCATTTGGAGTTGGATGCTATTAAATCATTAAATTTACTTTATCATCTAACGTTAATGCGGAGTATCTTTTTCACTTCTATTTAAATATAGAATTTAAATTACTTAGTTTCTAAGGTTATAACTATATTCAATACTCCTTTTGTCTTTATTTGCAGGTGGAGAACTGTCCATTTTCAAAAGATCGCAGACATTCTACTATGCCATGGGCTTGTTGATTTTCTCCGAGGAGTCTTTTGAAATTTAGATCTTCAATGAGCCATATTCTCCAGGTAATTTATTTGAATTTTTATTATAGTATTTTGGCTCACATTCATCTAGTATATACCCATTTTCATTTGAATCTGTATGATGTAGTCTGTTTCATCTCATTCTATAACACTTAATTTTGACTTTCATGTCCCAAAGCGCTTTTGTCAGAATCTCTAGCTCTTCTCGGCATAAAACTTAGAGAAACCTGACCACATATATTAGGTCAACTCAAGTCATTCTTCGCATGAGTTATTCAGTGTATCAGATGCCAACTCAAGGGGGCCTAACAAAGTGATTATTTGTCATGTGAAACATTGCCTATTGGATATGAATTATCAAATAGAGGCTTGGTCTTTGGCGTATGGTAGAAATTAACAAGTTCTGCTATTTGCTTAAATTTTGAACAGATATTAACTGGAGAAAATGGTAACAATAAATATGCAGCGAGGTGAATCGTTAATTGATAAATAGTGCTAGCTCATTTCTTCTAGTAACTAATCTTTGCATATGCTTCACAAATTTTGGTTTGTTTCCTTCTTTTCCTTTTCCTGATTCTTTTTCATTTCTTTCTAACTTTCTTGTGTTTTTAGTCCTAAAACATAGGGGTCTTCCTTTTTTTAATTTCTTTATCCATAACCCATGCTGCTTCTATCCAAAGCCATTGCACATTGGTCTGAAACCCTAGAGGTAATGTTAGGAAATGAGCAAATTAATGCATAAGACAATTATCTGTCTATATATCTGACATATTTTATTAAGTTTGCATAATTCATCATTAGTAATTAAAAAACAATAGTAATAATTTTAACAGAAAAAAGAAAATTGTGATTCATGCTGTTTTAGGGTTATTTAGGTGGTTTCTGATTACAACTAATTGAATAATTAAGCAGATGACTTTTAAAATATCTAAGTGTGTCCTATATACTTCGATTTGTACCTTGGATCTTGTTATGTTAAAAATAATTCCTAATTAATTCAAGAATCAACAACATGTAATAATAACGAATAAGAAAATCGTAAGACCATGAAATAGTAGGATATGAAGAGGAAAAAAATATGGGTTCAGTCCTAATAGCTCGGTCTATAAGGAGGTGGTTACAAAGTTGGAAAGGTAAAGAAAATCGAAACATAAAATTTCTAATAAATCAGCCAAAAGAATCAAAGGATTTAAATAATGCAGAAAAATGAAGTCTTCAAAATTCCTATCTTCAGTTTGATAATAAAAATGCTTGGTGAAGTCTTCAAATTCCTGTCTTAGGTCTGATAATAAAAATGTTAGGTGCTCTTGAAAGCTTTTCATTCTGCCCACTCTAAATGGTCTGAAACAAGGATACTGTTCTTTAAAGGGCTAGTCCAGCTATCCAGAGAGTCAACAATGCATAGCATATTCTCATTTGCTTGTGATTTTTCAAAATCATTAACGATACTCCCTAGTTTATGATTCTTTTCTTTATGAGACAAACTTAGTGCAAAAATGCCCTCCCCTAACTAATGTCCTGCTGGTGAAATCTGAGACAAAGCTGCAGTTTCATTCAACAAATGGTATTTTCATACCATGTCAACGAGTGGGTTATCCTTCCTTCCTGATGCCAACCTTTCCAAAATCTTCAAAAAGGATAACTATCCTATATCTTCCGCTTAAGAAAACATTAAAAATGGATACTTATCTTTTATTCATTTTCCCACTTGTAGAAGCTTTATATACTAGGAACATTCTCTGTCCCATTCGAGCAAGTCAAAATTTTCCCTTTTTATGTTTGGAAGACAACAACATGAAAAACAAAAAAAAACCATCGTGCAGGTAACAATTCCATTGTTGAAATTTATTGCTGAGATGCTGCAGAACACGTCTAAGAGATTTGACTCTGTTTTTCATCACCTCCTAATGGCCTGATACTTTTTCGAAAGTCTGTAAGCTGATTGTAGCTTATGGATCTAATATTTTGTCTTTTCCCCACCAAGTAGATGTATGGCCCACCAAATGCAAGGGAATTTGCATCTGTTTAACTATTGTTACTAGAGGTAGCATTCAAATTATTATTCTTCTAATTTTAAAATTTTTCATTGCATTTCTTTTTCTATTTAATAGCATTCTGGCCAATAATTCTTTGTCTGTGATGAACTAGGTTGACATGTTGAAGTTAGGGGTGTTATGCAATCCTTAAATGACCTGGCCTGCTTGATTGTGGGTCCAATGGAATCAGATGAAAATTATTGTGTGACTATGGATGGAGAATGAGCACTAAAAGAATGATGGTGACATGGATAGTCTATGCATAAGTTTTGTCTAACATAGGATCCAACGCTTCATGCATACTTACTGAGGATAACAAATTATGTAAGTTGAGGAAAATTTAATGCGTGAGAAGGTATTAAAAGGGATGCTTACTGTATTTTACAGCTAAATTCATGCCACTAACTAGTGCGACAAGATGCTTTATTAGACAAACTGAATCAAACTGGTGGTGGATATCTCATCTAAGCCTGTAAGAGAGAGTGGACATTATGTTTGATAACCACGGTCTTCTATGCATGTTTAATGAAGAAATTTTCTGATTTATTTGATGGTGACATTTTCTGGTTTTTTTGTTTTTGTGGTAGCTGTTCGGAAATTGTTTTAGCTAGCTTATTGTAAAATCTTTTTCGTGATTGACTTTCCTTCTTTTTCCTTCTTATTTTCAGTTGATCTCCTAATTATATGTTGAGGCCACTTTTTATAGTTGCTTATATTCTATGTGATAGTGTTGTCCGGAAATTTTATCAACCTTGGTGTTGTTGAATAGTATGGCGTTACTACATTTAAAGATGTTCTTAATGCTATTCTGAAAGCGATATTGCCAATTTCTTTGGCTGATATATGGGCTTTTAGAAAGGTAGACATTGCCTTTGATTTCAGACTTTCAAGCCTAGGGATTGTCAAAAGCTTTCAGATGTATACATGCAATCTATTAAAGATCAGTTATTATTACCTTGGAAATCCAATGATGTCTTGGCCCCTTAGCAGCATTCCATAGGAAGTCAGCCATGATGCTTTCCAATTGGTGAATTTATATTTTGGGAAATGGGATAGCAGTACGAGTATGAATCGGCATGCTGCAAACTACTGACCTGAGTAAAGTAATTCTGGAACAAAAAAAAGTGGCTTTGTTTCCAACCTCTAATATGAGCATTAAATCTGCTCTGCATATGCTGAAAATATACCTTTTTAAGTCAACCATAGAATAACAAGACCCTTAAATAAGTCATCGAAAGGTGCATATTGCTACATCCTATCCAGCTCTTAATATGGGATATCCGAGCAACAATCATATGTTCAGGTGCATAGAAACTACTCTTTAAAAGATTCAATAACTGACATGAATACTTCTCATATTATGCAATCAATTGTCGAAGGTACTGTAGGGACCTCTTAGAACCCTTAGTAAATATAAGTATATCATCTGCATAGAACAAGTGAGACACCACCATGGCACTCCTACCTATCCCATAAGATACTGAGTTTCCTTCCTGAATACCTGTATTTAGATTAGCAGATAAAACTTGTTGGACTAAGATTAACAACAGAGAAGGTAACAGATCCCTTGCCGACCACCCCTACTAGAGTTGAAACACTTGAAGTTCATCCCTTAGATTCTAGTAGTAGACCATATGTTATTAATTCACTGGACATTTTTTTTCTTGCAGCAATTTTGTACCTAATCATATGAGTGTTCTGTGACTGATGATCATATAAAACTATTGGAATATGTTGTTCAAAAAATTGCCTTAATTCTTCAAGCATACATGGATCTGGTAATGCATACCTTATTCAAATTTCTTTCACTTGAAATTCATTGAATGCCAACAAAATTCCTATTTGTAGAGCAATAAGGCAATCAATGACACCTTAAGTATCTTCTTCAAAGTGGCAACAAGGTCAGTCATAATTCTACGTGATTCTGCTTAAAGATGCGTTATAGCTCTTGGTTCTTTCTTGTTTTATGAAGATCAGCATTTTTTAGGTTCAATACATGGAAGGGAGGCTGCATTTGGAGTTGGACACTATTACATCATTAAATTTACTTTATCACCTAACGTTAATGCAGAGCATCTTTTTCACTCCTATTTAAATATACAATTTAAATTACTAAGTTTCTAAGGTTATAACTATATTCAATACTCCTTTTGTCTTCATTTGTAGGTGGAGAACTTTCCATTTTCAAAAGATCGCAGACATTTTCGGAATAGAAAGATGTTCTACTATGGCATGGGCTTGTTGATTTTCTAGGAGACTTTTGAAATTTAGATCTTCAATGAACCAGTGCAAAAATGCCCTCCCCTAACTAATGTCCTGCAGGTGAAATCTGAGACAAAGCTGTAGTTTCATTCAACAAATGGTATTTTCATACCATGTCAATGAGTGGGTCATCCTTCCTTCCTGATGCGAATCTTTCCAAAATCTTAAAAAATGATAAATTTCCTATATCTTCTGCTTAAGAAAACATTAAAAAATGGATACTTATCTTTTATTCGTTATCTCACTTGTAGAAGCTTTATATACTAGGAACATTCTCTGTCCCATTCGAGCAAGTCAAATTTTCCCTTTTTATGTTTGGAAGACAACAGCACCAAAAAAAAAATCCATCGTGCAGGTAACAATTCCATTGTTGAAATTTATTGCTGAGATGGTGCAGAACAAGTCCAAGAGATCTGACTCTTTTTTCATCACCCCCTCATGGCCTGATACTTTTTCGAAAGTCAGTAAGCTGATTGTAGCTTATGGATCTAATATTTTGTCTTTTCCCCACCAAGTAGATATATGGCCCTCCAAATGCAAGGGAATTTGCATCTGTTTAACTATTGTTACTAGAGGTAGGCATTCAAATTATTATTCTTTTATTTTTAAATTTTTCATTGCATTTCTTTTTCTATTTAATAGCATGCTGGCCAATAATTCTTTGTGTCGCGATGAACAAGTAGACTAGAAGGGTAAATAGACATTTTATGTGGAATGAAGCAGCTGAGTATATCAATCATATATTTTTATATTGCAAGTAGACTCAAAGCTTATAGGTGTTGATCTTTGGGATAGGATTTTGTTGTGCGAGTTTTTTGTATGGGCTCGAGGCCATAATTGGAGATGCTTATATAATGGGTTACTGCTAATATTTGCAACTACCAACTACAATGGTGTGCCAATTTCCTTTTATTTTTTCTTCTTGGTGTGTGCGTGTGGGGGGTTAATCGGGGTTGGAGTGCAATCTCTACATTTGTTGCAATATATATCTAAGGAGCATCGCCAATCCGGTATTCGAGTAATAACTAAGGAGAACCACCAATCTACTATTCGGGTAAAGAGGCAAAAGTTGCTTGAATGCAAAGGAACAAGTTCTTACATGCAATAGAATTAAATGTAGAGAAACCGCACTTCGATTTGTAGTCCAAGATGCATTTATACATTTATACTTGTTCT